ATATATATATATAATATATATTATAATTTATAATATATAATATATTTATAATTTATAATAAATATTTATAATTTATAATAAATAATTATATATTTATATATATATATATATATATATATATATATATATATATATAAATATTTCAAATATATATATAAATATATATGTGTGTGTGAAAAAATATATATATATGTGTGAAAATATATAGAAAATAAGAAGGAACTGGTTAGGTAAATAATCCAAAATCCCTTAGTATTTTAGTTATTATTTTTATAAAATAGTGCTCGATACAGAAGTAGAGCATAAATATAATTATTTATTTAAAATATGATTCCAATTCGCGACATGAGACCTCTTATGTCGCGAATTGAAATCATATTTTAAATATATATATATATATATATATATATATATATATACAGGCAAGATAAGAACAAATTTAATTTAAAAGAGGGCTCAATACAGAGTAATGCTAAATATTATTTATTATAAGAGATTAAAAACTATACTATACTATATATATGTATATATATATATAGTAGCATACTACCTTAGGAGTTACTTAGTTTGTAAATTTACTTCAATATGATAGATTCTTGCATAGAAAAACATGTCAGTGGATAACGTGAGACCAAGAAGGCGAAATATGTCATTCTCCTGAAAGTTAGCATCAGCCATGTTGGCTAATAACAAAAATGGTTTCCTTCCATGATATCAGTTTGCTTTTGGTGGAGATAAAATTTACAAGCCACATCTTGTCCCAATTCATAACTGACTGGAAGTCTTTTCGATAACAGCCGCTGTTTGATTTACATTAAATAAAATCATTTTATGTACATTCAACATTTTTCTACGCATCCATTCTTTAGTTATATATCCTGTAGTCGAATCTTTAAATACGTTTAATATTTACTCCTTTTTCTGTTAGTTTTTTTCTATTCTATTTTTACAATGATCTAGTTTTTTTTTCTTTATTTTTTATCAGTAATTTTATCTGTAATTTTCATTGGCTGTTTATTTGTCTGTCAATATTTTCGAAAGAAAACCATTCCTGTAGTCAGATCTTTGGCGTGAAGATTCCGATCTGATGGAATGAGATTCTCTAAATGAATCGAACAAATTCCTAACAATCTTGAGTTTTCAACCATACGGTTTCTTTTATTTAAAATACCGGAACTTCGATGTTTGTACAACAATGACTGCTCCCTATTGATTGGCCAATCAGAAAAGAGAAAGCAATCTGTTGACGCTGGGCGATTGACAAAACGATTTTTGAAAATTGTTCTGGCACAATTGCTACCATGGTTACGGAAATGACGCAAGAATATTACAAGAAATTATTTTCTTGGTCATTTATTCAGATATTTATCTTCCATTAACTGTCTCTATCTATCACTCTCTCGCTTTCTCTCTCTCTCTGTATGTATATATATATATATATGTGTGTGTGTGTGTGTGTGTGTGTGTGTGTGTGTGTGTGTGTGTGTGTGTATTTTTTAGGAAATGGATTAAATCCGCCATATTTTTATCAGATCATCCCATAAGTTCTGTCCGAATTTTGAATAAAGAAAACAGGTAACCAAATGTTACATCTAATTACAGATTCAATCAACGGTGTATTTTCCCTGATTATCTATGACTTCTTTCCATCTATTAACAAGTTGACTAATTCCATTACGTTAAAATTCTTTAGGCTTTGATTCAAAGAACTCACAAATGTCAGTTTTAACCTATTCTTGTGTTACAAAAGCTGTTTCTTCCAAATTATTCTGTAAGATACGATACAAATGGTAGTCTGAAGGAGCAAGATCGGAGGAATAAGGTGGATGAGGAATTTTCTCCCAACCAAGTTCTTCGATCTTTTGTGACGTGATTCTTATGTGTGGGGTCGCGCATCGTCCTGATGAAAAATCACCTCTTTTCGATTCACTAGAGCAGGTCTTTTTATACTCAAAGCTTGGTTCAAACGCTCTAATTGCTGACAATATATTTGAGCATTAATTGTTGCATTAGGTGGTAAGAATTCAAAGTGGATTATTCCTTGGCGATCCCACCAGATTGAAAGAAGATCCTTTTTCCCATGAAGTTCCCTTCTCGGCTGTGGCTGGGGTCTTCCCCTTTACTAAACCACTGTCTACGACGTTTAACATTTCGATAAAAGATCCATTTGTTGTCGCCAGTCACAAATCTATCCAAAAAGGTGAAACAAGTTGGCGAGAATGGAGAGAAGAGCAGATTTCAACTCGAGATTTGAGGTTGTTTTCAGACAATTCATGAGGCACCCATTTTCCAAGTTTAGGAACTTTTCCAAGTTGTTGAAGATGACGATGAACAGTTGTATGCTTTGAACTGATAACCACTGCCAATTCCTCAACTGATAAAGCAGGATTTTCTTCAAGAAGCTTTAATCAAACTCAACTGGACGTCCGGTTCGATCTTCATCTTCAAGGGTGAAATCTCCACCTCTGAATTTTGCAAACCATCTTCTGCAAGTTCTTTC